ATCTGACGCAGGAGCGCCCATGATGCAACACACCTTGGCCCAAAGAAATTAAGTGCCACAGGCCTTCTTCCCCCACTCCTCCTCCTCCTGACTTAAGGTAAATGGAGTAGATAGCGACGATGCCGAAGCTAGCTGTGCGAATAAGGCATCCGGCTGTTCCATCTGGGATAGCCTGTTCCTGATTGGGGGTGGGCCAGGCGCGGAGACGCGGCTTCACGAAGATGAGCGTACCTCTCGATAATACGCCGCACTTGCCTGGAAAGCCTTCCATCCCGAAAACCTCCCATCCTTTCCTTCTCTGTGCTGGTGCTACATCCCGGTACTTCTGCCCACGCAACTCATGCCCCTGAGTCAGTCTTACACAAACATCAATACTGTCCAAGGGCGCCTCCCCTGCACCCCATGACGAGACACTGCGCGTGACGAGTGAGAGACCGGAAAGCCGCGCGGGGCGGCGGCGCCGCCAGTGGCCCCGACGCTTCGGGGGCGGCGCCAAGGGGCCTTTAGACCCCTCGCGAGACTGTGGGGGAAGGTTTTGCAGGGGCGCCTCCTGCTGCTCCTCCTGTTCCTCCTCCTGCTGCTGCTCCAGGACTTCCACTGGCGGACCCTTCTGGCTTGAGACTCTCCAGTGGCGGCAGCTCCTCCTCCTGCTGCTGCTGCACCGCCTTTTCCCAGCACTCCGCCCTCATCACCCTTGCTGTCCTTGCCCTTGAGCTTCATTCCCTTTGCCACGGATTTCTTCGCATGCGTTCCCACCATCTGCGCATATGCCTCTGGAGTGTTTCCTGAACGGACTAGATCACAAAAAGCACGGGAATTCTGAAGCTTGACGAGGAGCGCACCGATGTCCACATGCGCTGGCCTTTTCCGCCCTTTTGCGGTGCATCCTCTCTCCTGATCAAGCTCCTCTAGGGTTCGTTTGCACCATATTCCCCTGCAAATGGGGTGGTATCCACAACGCCTTCTACTCGATCGTCCTCCTCCAAATCCTCATGAAAACCTTGTTTCGGGAGTTCTGTACGATACTCTCCCGGATACGTTCTTGGCGGGATGATCATCGAGAACGTCTAGAAGGGCATCCAGCTTGCGTTGCGCTTGTCCCTGGGCTGGGACATGCTCTTGAAGACGCTTGGCCTGCTGCTCCTGCTGCACCGAGGTGATCTCGGCCTGTAACATGTTCGCCTGTTCCAAAAGATGGTCCTGATGGAGATGAAGGGGCTCCATAATGACAAAACTCTCCTGAATTTATTCCTGGAGTTTCTCCAAACGCGTCTGCTTGTTTTTGATCGCCTCCTCTCCCGACGTAGGACTGACGGAGGTCGTTGTGTCGCACATTCCTGCCGAATCAAGCCTACCACAGCCTCAAACTGGGAAACCAAGTCGGGGTCCATCTGAGCTTGTTTGAGCTGGGTGGGGGTGTGCTGGAAACTTTGCTCCAAAGATTGGGGCCCTGGGTGGCGAGGGGTTCGACTTGGTTTGGGCTTTGGAAAGCGATTACCTGCAATCCCATGGTCGTGCAACGTGCAACTGGACAAAGTTGGGGTCGGGCACCCCCTGCCGCCAGTCGCCATAACCCTTGACCACCTTTCCCTAGAGCGGCTCAGTTTCCTTCGGATGTTTCCCCCTCCTTGATGCCTGACTGATGAACAGCACCTCCCCCTCCGACGGTTCCCGCACGACTGTCCTGCCACTGACTGCTCAGTGCATGAAAGTCTGAAGAAGGCTGCTGAATGAACTGGGGAAAAGGAGCATGCCAACGGTAACAAATATTGTGCCACGGGGGGGTTCTTCTTGCCAAATATTGGTGCCGCTCCCAGGCCGCCATGGCTGGAGCCAGGTTGGGAAGTTCAGGAGCGGGCTCCTTGAGCCAAAATGGCAACGGACATCCTCCTCCTCCTCCTCCTCCTCCTCCTCCTCCTTCTCCGTCCTTCCTCCTCCTCCTCCTCCTCCTGCTCCTCCTCCTCCTCCTCCTGCTCCTCCTCCTCCTCCTTCTCCTCCTCTCCTCCTCCTTCTCCTGCTCCTCCTCCTCCTCCTCTTCCTCCTCCTCCTCCTCCTCCTCCTCCTCATCCTCCTCCTATTCGCGCCCAGTGGCTTCCCCCAGGATGCGGTGTACACTTCGCCGACGTTGAAAGGACCAGGGGCCATGATTGACCACGCACCTTCATTCTACTGCCAATGGCATAATAACGCTTCGGGTAATCGCCACACGTGTCACGGGTTCAATCCAGCCGCCCCACTGAGGGGCGACCGCGGCGTGGGCGAACGGGGGGATGATAAGCACGACCCAGTGGAACATCATCATGATGGTGATGTCGATACGGATGAAAATGATGGCGGGTGAAATTATGCGCCCATCGTCATGGGTTGCGGTTGCTCTACATCGGTATGTGTGTTGCGTTAAGTCTGGCGGGTGTTGTAAGCTATCAAACATCGCGCATCGCGAAGCGCAACTCTCGCTTTCGCACGCCACTCATGAAAGTGCAAATCTACAGCCCAGCCCGCGAAGCGTAGATATTCTCTGCGCCCCTACCGATGGCATATAGAAAACTCACGTACGCGGGAAGAGGGAGGAAGGGGGATAGGGAAGAGGGGCTCGTCTTTACTCTCCTCCCTCCTCCTCCCTCCTCCTCCCTCCTCCTCCCTCCTACCTCCCTCCTCCCTCCTTCCTCCTCCTTCCTCCTCCCACCTCCCTCCTCCGCCCACATTCTCCCTCATCCTCCTCCTCCTCCTCCTCCTCCTCCCCTCCTCCTCCTCCTCCTCCTCCTCCTCCTCCTCCTCCTCCTCGTGTCTCCTCATCGTCCTCCTCCCTTCTCCTTTTTCCTACCTTCCTTCCTCCTTCTTCCTCCTCCCTTCTCCTTTCCATACTCTCTCCTCCATGGGCCGATCCAGAGACGGCGTCTGGAGACGACGCTGGCGGTTATGGCGGCGCGGCCATGCATGCTCTCCGAGCAAATAATTGCTGGGCCCTCGAGAGCCACCCGCAGGACGCATGCTGATATAGCCAGAGTTAGGTCGGGCATGTCCCCCTACAGGCGGTTTTTGGAAGAATAGCAAAAAATAGTCAAACATATGCAACAATGGTCAAAAATAGTCAAGACATCGTCATCATACGATTTGTTCGACTATTTTTGAATACTCCTCATGTAGAGGGACATGCCCGACTTACAGCTAGAGGAGGCCAACGGCCCAAGGATCTGCCCTCGAGTCAAGAAAGGCCCTCGCAGCTCGGGCCAGTGTTGTCGTTCGACTCCCATCGCGCAAGGGCACAGTTTGGCTCTCCTCCCCCTGCCCCCCCTCTCCCCCCCCCATCCGAGAATCACCTCCGCTGCTGGCGGCTGAAGAGGAACCGTGGGGGGGGGGGGGGGGGCGGCTCCAGGAGGGGGAAAATTCGACCTGGAGTCGGCGATGTATCACCGATACAGTCAAGCTGCTGCAATAAGGGACGCCAGATAAGGAACGAAGTCCCTTCCTGGTACCGAAAGAGCCTGGGTGCACGAGGAAGGCCAGAGGAATAACCACAGAAGGGCCTACGGAACAGCGAGCCCCTTCGGAATCCAAAGCGGTCCTCAGCGTCCTGGCCGTAGCCCCCCGAGGACGAACCCGCACGCACCTGGGCGGGGGTGGGCTGTCGGGCCGTCATCGGCGATGCATAGGCGACCCGGGGTCGATGCGTCCCCTCTAACGCTGCCCCTCAGCGCCCCTCTAACGGGGACTCCACTGACGCGTCCTTTGGCCAGTGACCCGGCGAACCTAACCCTCCCCGATGTGGGCAACGCTGCACTGCCAGAACGAGGCCCTGAAGGGGCAACTTCCGGCAACTCTCCAAAGCACCCGTCAGTGAGCACCCGTCACGGTGCCGCTGAACCCCTGAGGGGCGCCTCCTGCCGGAGCGCCCCGCTGGAGCCCCGACACGCCCCCGCGTGGTGGCTCTAGGGGGGTCGCTGTGTCCCCCCTGACGTTGCCCCCGAGGGGCGCCTCTTGCCGGAGCGCACGCAGCCCCCCTTCCCGCTGGAGCCCCGACCCCGCCTCCACGTGGTGGCTCTCCACGGGGGCGCCGCTGCAGTCCCACCTAGGGCGGACGGACGGGCGGGCGGACGGACCACCCCTGCGCGCCGGGGCGCGCTTTTCCACCAGGAAGGGAGCGGTGGCGCCGCGGCGCCGAGAGGGGGAGGAGGAGGAGGAGGAGGAGGAGGAGGAGGAGGAGGAGGAGGAGGAGGAGGAGGGAGGAGGAGGAGGAGGAGGAGGAGGAGGGGGAGGAGGAGGAGGAGGAGGAGGAGGAGGAGGAGGAGGAGGAGGAGGAGGAGGGAGGAGGAGGAGGAGGAGGAGGAGGAGGAGGAGGAGGAGGAGGAGGAGGAGGAGGAGGAGGAGAGTGTAGGCCACAGCTCCTCGGACGAGCAGGACGAGGTTCTGAAAGGGCAGGAACAGTGGACGAACGACGAAGGGCCCGAGGGGCGCGGGCAGGGCACGGGACGGCCGCGGCAGCCCGCCCGCGACCCCCGCTCTGCTTTCTCGACAGGCCCGCCTCGAGAGGCCTGCCTTCGACGGGTCCGGGGAGCTGGTGGTCGGAGGTCGGCGGGGCCGGGCGGGGGAGGAGGACATGGGGGTGCGGAGGAGGGGGGGGAGGGGGGGGGGGAGTGAGGGTCAGGACGGGGATGCACAGGGAGGATGCACGTGGGGGGAGAAAGGGAGGAGCGGGGAGGCGAGGTGGAAGGGTGGGGAGGCAGGGGGAGGAGGGAAGGGAGAGGGGAGTGGAGGCGAAGACAGGGGAGGTCAGAGGAGAATTTCCCTTCGACGAGGACCTGCTGGCCTGATGGGCACTGGCGCAATTCCACTGGGATAGAAAAGGGCTCGTCGGAACACACAGCCCGTACCCGAAAACCTCAGATATGAGTCCGGGGGGTAGGGGGGGCGCATCCCAGCGGGTGCTTGTGTAACTTCTGCAGTGCAGGGGTGCCCCAGGGGAGGCACTTCCTGGGAGGGCAACTTCGTGTCTGTGGCAATGAGTGCACGTCATATTGTAAAGGACAAAAGGACCGCCATCATGAAAAACAAAAAACTGACAAACGGAACAAATCAATAAACGCACACGCGGGAATAAACGAACACAGCAGGGTTGCTCAGCAAACGCCCAGGACTATTGAGCGAACGCCAGTTATGAGGGTCGGGGTGGTTTTGCCTCCCTAGAATGATGAGCCAGCCATAGTAAGCCGAAAATGCGACGCGCGGTGGCGCCGCCACTCCAAGGGGTCGGGCGGGGGACGCCAAGCGACAAAGTCAAACAAGCCCTATAGTGACGACGCGAGCCCCAAAATGGCACCTCGAACACTCATTGATTTTGTCTGTTTGGGGCAATCTGGATGATCGGTTCGGCATTGTTGCTGATTCCCTGGATGTCTGGGCCCGAAACAGCGACTGTGTTTTGCATGGAAGTGTTAGAACGCGATTCGAGGGGCGGCGCAACTTGTGGCGCAACAATGACTTGGGGTCACAGAGTGGATCAACAGGTGATTCGGGAGGAAAGCGCAATCCAATTGGCGGGGTGACAGTGCGGACAAATTCGTGATCAGATCGTGCGGCACAGGGTGACAGAGCGGACCAACTCGTGACCCGGCGGACGGGAACCATGGCGAATCCTATTACGCAGGGCGACGGAGTAGACCCACTCGTGGTCTGGTCGTGCGACGCAACCTGCGCGAAACTTATGGCGCAACCTATGGCGCGGCCATTTGGCACAACCTATGGCGCAACCAAGACCGCGACCTATGGCGGCCCAGAAGTGGGTACGTCGTGGGTCCCGCTGGCGATTCGGTGGGGTGGCGTCGTGCTGTGCCGCGCCGTGTGCAACGCTGCGCCATGCTGGGCCGTGTTGAGACGTGTCACGTGGTGCCGCGGCACCCTTCCGTGCGCTGCTCAAGGCCTTTGGGTGGGGCAATAGCATGATCGTTTTGGGGCCCCATCTGCAGGCAGAGCAGCAGGAGGCGCGGCCCTCAGCTCGCGGCAGCACCGACGCGACGCTTCTTCGCCTTCCTCTTCACCGTCCCCTCGGCCGCAGCCGCAGCGGCATCTGGCGGACACGGTGTGGACGCCTTCGACGCGAACAGCTGCAGGCCGCCACTGCCCGCCTTGGCGGGCGCGCCCGCGGCGGCGGGCGCCTGGGGCGCCACCGCGGCGGCGGGCGCGGCCGCAGGGGCCGGGTGCTGGACGTCCGCGGCCTGCGCCTGCCGCTTGGGCCTGCGCTGCCTCTTCTTCTTCAGGACCTCGCGCATGCCCTCGGAGTTCCGGAACTCCGGCTTCGTGGGGTCGATCTCGAAGTCCGCGCTCGAGAAGATCTTCGCGATGCGGGGGTCGTCCACGTCCACCTTGAAGCCCCCGTCGGCCCCGTCCTGCTTCGCGGAGCCGCGGTGGGCCCTCCGCTGCGGCATGCGCAGGTTGAAACCTTTGCTACTCGTCTCATCCATCGCGAGGAGCTCGAGGTCTCCCTGATCTGCCTCCTCGCTAGCGGCGCTGCCCTTGCCGGCTGGCGCCGCGCGGCGCGCTTCCTGGGCGGCCTCCGTCTCGCCCAGCTTGCTGGCACTGCGCTCCTCCTTGGCCTTCCTCCGCGTCTCTCGGCGCTTCTCCTTTCGCTTGTCGAGGTACTTTTCCCACGTGCTCTTCTCCTTCGCCTCCAGGGTGTGGGCCTTGTCCCCCTGACTCTTCACGCGTTCGACGAGCTCCTCCTCCAGCTGCGCAGCCTTCACGCTGAAGGTCGCCTCCATGTCGCCCATCTGCTCTTCTCGGCTGCTGCTGTCCGAGTCGGACTCGCCACCCGCTGCGTCTGCAGCTTCGGATCCAGAGCCCGCGTCCGCGACGAGCTTCCTGAGGGTCTCGGCGCCCTCGTCGTCCCCCCCTTCGTCCGAGGAGGCCGCCAAATATGTCTGGAGGTCCATATCCGCCATATCTTTGGCAGAAAACTTCTTCCGCATGAGGTCCTTCTTCCGCTGGGCCGGGCCCTCGTCCCAGGTGCACCGCACTTTGGAATGCCCCAGGGCGCTCTGCGTCTGCTCTGGGGGCTTATATCTCTTCGGCATCTCGGTGGCCTCAGAGGTGGGCGCGTGCGGAGGCGTCAGGTCCTCGGGCACGAACCTGAGGTCGAGCGGCCTGGTGGAGAGGCCCTCCGCCTCCAGCCCGTCGAGCTGGTCATAGAGCCAGCCCGCGGTGGCGGCGGAGTCGCACTCGGCCAGCGCCCAGTGGTACATGGTGCGCTGCAGCTGGTACCGCCGAAGCGCCTCTCGGGTCGGGCGAAAGGGGGGGATAGCAAAGGGGGGGTTTAAGAATCAGCTCACGTAGCTGAATTTCCCGGCGCCTCCCGGCGCCGGAGGCGGCTATGTATCGAGGAATGGGCTCCTCGATGGGGCCGAAACCAGCTGCATGCAGCAAATTTCGTTACCCCCCCTTTCCCAATCCCCCCCTTTCGTCCAATCCCCCCCTTTCGTCCGGCCCGAGCCTCGGTCTGCTGCCTCTCGTCCTCCTCGTCCGTCGTCGGCCGGCCAGGCTTGCTGGACGAGGAGCCCAGGCCCTGAGGGCCCAGCTGCGCCTCCTGGCAGAGGACGCTGCCAGCTACACACCGCCACCAGCCCTGCACGGGCCCAGCCTCCGGCCCGAGCCCCGCGGCGGTGCACCAGGGCCTTCCTGGCCAGGGTGCGCCGAGAGGGGCGACGATGCACCAGCAGAGGGCCCAGAGAACGGGTCTGGCCTGCACTGGCGGTGGTGCGTAGCTTGCAGACTCCTGGCCTTGGCCATCTGCTCTAAACCCCAGTCGGAGGGATACACGGCCACCCGCTCGACCGCGCCCGAGCGAAGAGCGCCGCCAGTCTTCCTCGACTCCCCCCCGCCGAGGTACGTGCGCAGCATGACCAGCAGGTCCGAGGCGTTCGTCTTGTCCCAGTCGCAACCCATGATAGCGAGCCGCCGCGTGGCCTCGGATTCGCGCCTCCTCCCTCCCCAGGCCCACATCCTCCATCCTCCTCCTCGTCCTAATTCTCCTCCTCCTCCTCCTCGTCCTCCTCCTCCTCCTCGTCCTCCTCCTCCCTCCTTCACCTCCCTCTCCCCTTGAGATTACGTGTCCTTATCCGCCTCCTCCTCCTCCTCCTCCTCCTCCTCCTCCTCACCTTCACCCTCACCCTCACCACCACCATCACCATCAACATCACCATCACCATCACCATCACCCTCACCATCACCATCACCATCACCACCATCCTCCTCCTCCTCCTCCTACTCCTCCTCCTCCTCCTCCTCATCATCATCATCATCAGCATCATCATCAGCATCGCCATCATCATCATCAGCAGCAGCAGCAGCATCATCATCATCAGCATCAGCAGCAGCATCAGCAGCATCATCATCATCGTCATCACAATCACAAGCACCAGCATCACCATCATCATTATCACCACCACCATCATCAGCAGCATCATCATCAACATCAGCAGCAGCATCATCGTCATCACAATCACAAGCACCAGCATCACCATCTATCATTATCACCACCACCATCATCATCATCATCAGCATCATCATCATCAACATCATCATCAGCAGCATCACCAGCATCATCAGCATCATCACTATCAGCATCGTTATCATCATCAGTGAACCATCCATCATCCTCAACAGCAGGAATCATCATCAACAACACCATCTCCATCAGCATCATCATCACCATCACCATCAGCACCATCACCATGGTCATCATCACAACCATCATGAGATTCATCGTGATCGTCATCGCCATCATCATCATTAGCATCATCATCATCGTCATCGTCTTCATGATCATGATCATCATCATCATCATCATCATCATCAGCATCATCATCGTCATCATCATCATCATCAGCATCGTCATCATCAGCATCAGCATCGTCAGCATCATCAGCAGCAGCATCCTCATCCTCATCCTCATCAGCATCCTCACCATCATTATAATCGTCGTCATCGTCATCGTCGTCGTCGCCGCCAACAATAACAGCATCAACATCAACATCATTAGCATCATAATCAGCATCAACAACAACAACAGCATCATCACCATCATCAACATCATCCTCGTCGTCATCATCCGCATGCTCGCAACCACCATCGTGGTCACAATCATCAGCAGCACAGCCACCACCATCATTAACAGTGATAACGTCATCTCCGACAACAGCATCATCATCGGCATCATCAACATCAACATCGTCAGCGTCACTCCCACCACAGTTAGCCTGAGCCGCTCCCTCCTCTTTCTGACTCGCATCATAATCACACTAGCATCCCCTCACGTCCTCCTCCTCCTCCTCCTCCTCCACCGAATCATCTGCCTCATCCTCTCCGTTGCCCTGCTCGTCCTCCTGCTCCTACTCCACCTCATCGTCCTCATTCTTCACCCTCTCATCATCCTCTTCCTCGTCCCTTCTCCTCCACTCCCCCTCTCCGCCATCTCATCTTCCTCCTTCTCCTGCTACTATATCTACTGCCACCAGAACTCCTGCTCATGTTACTGCTCCTAATCCCCCTCCTCCTCACCTTCCCTACGTCGGACTTGCCAGAACTACCGAGCCGTCCGACCTCCCAAATCATTTAGCATTGCCTGTTTTCCAATGCCCGCGATCGGCCGTGGACCGAAGATGACGAACCACAAAGTCCTCCTCCTCCTCCTCCTCCTCCTCCTCCTCCTCCTCCCTCTCGTCCTCTCCCTTTTCCTCCCCCAAATGTTCCCCGAAGGGTTCCCACAATGGGCTGGGTGGCTCGCCGTAGGCGTCTTCGATTAGAAGAAGAAGAAGAAGAAGGAGGAGAAGAAGAAGACTGCTCCTGCCTCCTTCTGTCCGTTCCTGCCTCCTCCTCCTGCCTATTCCTCCGCCACCTGTCTCCTCCTGCCTCCTCCTCTTGTCTACTCCCCCCCTCCTCGTCAGTACTCACCTTCCTCCTGAATCAGCCTCCCCCCGTCCTCTTCCTCTCCTTCCCCCTCCGCTGGCGC